TTGAACTACATCTGACATATAAGTATACACATATCATGTACGCAGTATCATTTCATTGATGATCAAAAATCTTATTTTTATACACAACGAATATTACTTTTGAAATTGTTTGATTTCTTTCATTGTATATTTTGTAGAAAACCCATCATTTGCCGGTCTTAAATAGACCGAAATACTGCTTCACGCACTCGAGTGTGTCAAATACGTTTATTGACTTTTAAATTGGTCAAGCTAAACATACATTTTGGCTTGACTGAGAACCCCGAGCATTTTGCCGTGATCTCTGTGACGGTTGTTTACTCTCCATTATGATAACTTTCTACGGTGATGAGTGCGGACTATTTGGTTGATTGGGGATAAATATAACACTATTTGGTTATTAGATACGATACAACGAATGTATTCATCGAATACATCAATACACTTTATCTGAAACATACACAAATGATATTGAATACAAAGTATCAAGAGACAAAGAATAGCAGCAAACCTCGTCATTGTATTACGTTATGGTGCTTAAATATTCATATACGTTGAATGTACACATATCGGCGTTTTATTAAAATTTGTATCGTATATTGGAATTAGAGGGCCAAAATTGTATTCAACATCTCATATATTGCACCTATGAACCTACAAGTTGCACCCATATTGAATATAACGGACCCATTCAAATGAACGTTTATTGGTTTTCTTATAAATATATGTCTACCAAGTCTAAATTTAATAGAACTCGATAGGGTTAGGACAGCAGTGATTGCAATCTCACGTATAGGAACTCACAGCTGACTTGCCATATTTGTACCTCAGAATGTCAACAAATTCGAAAAACTATTTATATTTCATTAATCATTCGTCGCCGCCAAGTTCCACTTTTTAATGGCTTTTCCAATAATTTTATTATAAAAATATATATGTACCTGGCTTTCATCTTTAACTTTACCCGAATGACCGGCGAACAGCTACACTATTGTATATATATCACATGCATATCTATTCCATCAATAGTTCACGCCGCACGCAATGGTCTAGTGTACCCCTACTGTAGACGATATAAATACATATCATAGCTTATGAGTGCATATTAGCAGAAACACTATGGAGAGATCGGAGATAGACACTGAAAATACGGCTTCAGCGCTACGCCACGCAATAAACGAACCTGTGGCCGGGGGCACACACAGACGCTTAGCAAAAGTCGAGAAGAAGTTATGGGAGAATGCAGGTCTCGGTGAGACGCTCGCTGCAGTACTTGAATTAGAGCTTATCTCTGTTTCTCTCAAAGTACGAGCAGAGGAGATTTGCCTTGCTGTCAAAGAAAAGGTAATATTCTGAAAGTTGTCTTTCATTTGTCATCAATATCCATATAAATCCAAAC